CGACCATTTTTCAAAGGACGCAGGGAGCAACGGTCGGTCGTAGGTGCCTAGAACAGCCGGCAATCGGTAGGCGAACAAAGAGAGCTAGCCGGCTGCACGTAGACCCGTGAGATCGGGTTCGTTCTTTCTTAACTTTGCCACGCGCGCGTGCCCAGACGCGTAATTTAAGGAGGAGGCCCCTTCTTTTTTTTTTTTCGTGCCCGCTCGACAAGTCGATCGGATCGTTGCCCTCGTACCGATCTGCCGCTACATACTTGCGACGCGGGGAGATCGGTGGAAAAACTGCCCTAGTGAGTAGTCGATTGTTTTGTTTTTTCATCCCCCCCCCCTCCCATTAGGACAATAGAGCGAGAAATACGACGAGCCGGTGAGGAAAAATCGGTTTCCAACGTCCTTTTAAAAAATAATCCTCCCAGAGCCGGGAGGAGGACTCGCAACTACACAATAGTATACACCCAAAGACGAGACGATCATATAGGCCTACGGTATAAGATCGGCAGCGTCTAGCTTTGAGAGAAAAGAACCATAGGCGGCCAGTTAACAGCCACGCGTGATGTTATATATACATGTATGCAGACACAGTGTGTATTATAAAGCACACCTGGCGCGCGACAGCTGCTCCGCTCGAGAGAAAGAGGGAGCAGCCGGTAGGCAAGTTATATAGGTATATGTGGACGCGCAGAGAGAGAGAGAGCGTCCGTTATATATACATGGACTAGAGCGAAGAAGAAAAAGGAGGAGGAGCAGCCGAGAGGCCCCAGCACCTGTTTCGTACGTTATACCCGGGCACATGTCGCCCTGCCCATGGTGTATATGGATGTATACATATATCCATTGGATCATTGTTGCGTTTGCAGGCGAAAAAAAAAAAAAAATTCAAGTTCGCGTACACGATATGATATTAAGTATATATTGTACGCCCCCACGGAATTTCTCCTTGTGCCCCTTGTGTGCATATATACCCACTGCACGCGATTGCGTGCTCTTTTAGAGGGGCTGCGCCCCAGGGGAGAGACCGGGCAAGCTCACCTCGAGAGACCCTCTCTACTGCTTCTTCTTTTGCGGGAGTTGATGGATTGAATTTGCCATTTTACTCGGGCATGTGTGAGCTAGACCCATCCAACAATCGAACGTACACTTATCATGTTTTACAAGATATTATGAAGATTGCCGCATGTATCTGCGCGTCCCTTATTAACGCAACAAGATTTGGGTGACTCTTATAAGACGTGAAAAGAAAGTACTCGTGTAAAAACGCATAAAGGTGCGAGAATCGTTGATTTTTTTTGTTCTTTATTGATTGAATGAGTAAATTTGAATCTGCATATTGTTACTGTTTTGAGATAAATATCAGCGCATTTTCACACATGTGTACGTTTATTTGACAAAACTTGTTGAACGGCCTACTCGTTCAATTATGCGGGATAATGAGCGTGTTACGTATATGATGGTGAAGCGTTGAATTTGGTGGCCATGACAATTATTATCGATGCGTGTGAGCGTGCCTTGGATGTTACACGAAGGAATTTACAGAGGGTCGAGGGTAGAAGAAAAGAGCTCTGTTTAGCCGAAATGAGAGAGAAAAAAAAAAATGTAGGGAGTAATTTTTATCGAGATTTAGGTAAGTATCAGCTGTAGACTTGGTGAGTACTTTGTTGATTTTGTCTTTTTAATTGTGAATTATCGCAATAGAACGGGCTGAAATGAATAACAGCATGATTGTATACGTGTCGAAAACAATAAAGTCAAGAGACAGTTTGTGTACAGTTTTACGTGTCTTCGAGATACGAGAAAATGTTTTACGAGTACTTAAGTACATCTACGTATATGTATGGTAAAAATAACCTTTTGAATAAAAATTCAAGTAAATTAAACACTTGCTTAAAAAACATTACGAAATTACGATGTAAACGCACCATTTCACATTCAGACCTGAAGATGGACTGAACGAGCAAGATGCCAATCACAATTATTTATTTTTAGATACATTATTTATCCTTTTATTTGATAAATCTTGATTTTTTTTTTTTTTTTAAATACATTCGTATGGTCGTTATCGTGAAAAACAGGGTCACTGTTTTATTAACATTCGTAACGTCAAGAAGATAAGAAAAGGGTATCTGTTTCAAGTAGAAGCTAAAACTCCTTAACAGTATCGTTTGTTTAAAATTAAATCACTACAATTGAGTGTACAAGTAATACGTAAAATTGTTTAACAAGCAAAATCTAATAGGTATTGCATCTGTTTTTGGTACAGTTATCACGTATCAAACGACTATCTACAGTTCAATTGCTTTTTTTTTCAATAAAGTTAAAGGGGTTATCGGGGTAAATAAAAGTCAAAAGTAAATTATTGGCTTGTATGGTTTTTAATACGAGTATTATTGTACGAAACGTGGGATCAAGTGTGTAGTATTATGTATGAATATTAATGAAAATTAACAATAAAAAATACCTAATAAAATCAGTTCGCAACGAATACTCGATAAAGAGCTCGTGTGCAACCAATTCAGTTTTTCGAAAAATAAAAGCTAAACGTTTTGAAATTTTAATGTAAAATTTATAGTGATGCAATGACGGGTGGTATAAATTTTAGAAGAATCTGAATAAAACCGGAATATCATGATATTTCATTCTTGTTGCCATTATTCCGATATAGATGCTTTTTTTCGGTGGAGGTAAAGGAAAAAAAAAAACGTCCAGAGAGGGAGCAGAGAGCCAATTTATCGATGAATTTATTCACGATCGGTAATACAGATCTCAGCGCTTTCGAGGAAGCGACCGCTGTGTATCTTCGGTGGTGAAAGACAGTGGACTCGTAAATTCCGCGTCTCCAAGCAAGGGAAGAAAAAAGAAGACGACAACGATTTCCCTTGTGCTCTCTTAACCGGATTTCATGGCTGATCGACATGCTGGCTTTTTTTCTTTTCCGGGGGGCTTATTTTTCCCTCACATGACGACAGAGACAAATGTTAGCCACTGCAGCCATGCACTACTATCGGAGCCTAGTGAAATCGTATGTACTTTCGCGGGCGAAAAGTTTTTCGATTCTTCATTCGTTGGGAAGTTTTTTTTTTTTTTTCTTGTAAAGGTAATTTTATTTATGGCCTTTGGCTGTAGGATGAGCCTTGGGGGTGGGGACGGGATTAACTACATTTTTTAGTTGTTTCTCGTCAAGTCGAACATTGGATTTTTCGCACACTCATTTTGTTACTTTCTAATTTTTTATGCAAACGACGCTGTTTATTGTGTATGAAAGAATTTTAAAAATTAGTATCCAAATCGAAAGTTGAAAACTAAAGTAGATTCAATCAAGTTTTTGTAAAAAGAAACCGAGGCACTTGGTTTTTCTCTGGTACACTTTTACATTTCATTAATTTTTTTCTTCTCCCCGCCTCCATAAATTTATAGTTAAAAATAATCTTCAATTTATTGTCTTGTCATTGCTTAGTTCCTTGTTAATAGCGCAACAGAATTATATATAGGGGAGTAACAACTTGGAAAATAAAACACGAAAAATTAATTCGCTAGAAATAAATTGTATCGAGATCCTCGAATAGCAGATGAAAATTTTTTGACAGGGAGTAACTGTGCCCGTGTAAAGTGTTTCGAGCCATATCAGCAAAAACAAGCTCATACAGCAGCAGTAACGTGAAAAACACCGAAAGCCCCCTGCGCTTAGCTGCGCAAACTTCGTCATCTCTCATCCAGAGGTAAACACGCGCTACAAAGAGTCGAGCGTAGTTTTCCAAAAACCTCGCCCTCGATAAAACAAGACGAGTACGCGTAGAGAGAGGAACTTTCGGGTCTTCCTCTTGAGCTAACTCGTGGATTTACGAGGCTCCGGGGTCTTGTTGCTCCAAAGGCGTAAACGTAACCAGCGCACGGGGTTTCTTCCTCCGGCAATAAAAGCATGGGTACGTGCGTTGACTGTTAATTTTTTTCGTTGTTGGGCATTTTCTTTGTTTACTTATACTTCCTTTCTTTTTGTGCACCTCTGCGTTGTTTGACGTACGGTGCGAAATTAGATGAGCTTTTTCCCGGGAATATATTGCAGATGCAAGTACTTAGGAGAAGATGAGCAACGTAAATATGAATAATTTACCCTTTTTTTTTTTTCCAAATGTAAGTGTTTGACTTTTAACATGAATGCTATAATGTAAATTAGTAATTGTTAAGTGAAAACGGTTTTATTAATTATCCGTGTCACTTAATAGAGTATAATAACATTTGTGGTAAATAATTTGAAACTTCGTAAGTACAGAAAGTAATTTACCCTTTTTTTTTCTTTTTTTCTGATCAAATTCTTTTTCAACAACCACAAAGTCGATTTTAAAACTCGTTTCACGAGTTACTCTTAAGAGTGTTTTTTAAATTATTTTTAATGATATACCTTAAATGTAAGAATGCAGTTACACTTATACGTTTCCAGACTCTTCTTGATTGTATAACAAAATACAAAACTATGCTTATACGATAAGCCACTACAGATATGATAACTCAAAATACATTTAAAAAACGGTTAANTCGGGCCGCAAACCTCTCGGTTCGCAAACAAAGACTTTTCAAACTCGTAGGAAAACTACCATTTCGTACCCCAGTGAGTCATTACAAAATAACAAAATACACGAAAAATACATTCCGTATAGTGTGATTTTTTAAAAGCATTAAGAAATTCAGGTATCCAATATTCTATAAATTAGAAAAAACGTGTATCTTGTGTAACCTTAAACAAGTACAATTAGGCAAATGTCTTTGATGACCATAAAAAACTAGAGGGCGAAACAAGCACTGTATATGTTATTGCTACATTGTGGCCGAGGAGTAGTGTATGTATAGTGGCGATTAATCTCTAAAAGAGAAGGAGAACTAAAATTTATCCCAGATCACAGGATTCCAATTCCACGCGTATAAGTAATTGCTCGGCCACAAGGATCGAGGAAAAACATGGATGCACGCGGGCAAAGCCCACAACGATTGGAAAACAAAACAAAACTCACCTCGCGCATCTCCTTGATCTTGTTGCCACCCTTGCCGATGACGCAGCCGGCTTGGCTCTGGTGCACGAGCATACGCAGGTCGATGTCACCATCGCTCGATCCCATTTTGACTCCGCTCTGTGAAATATTTGACGTTTTAGTACTCACTTCCTCGGTACGCGTGACGGTTCAATCGCTCAAACCAGTAAAGCGCCAGAGGTAACGGAAAAGAAAAGGCACGTGGTGACGAAAATTAAAATTTGACGCGTCCAAAAACACAAGAAAACATCGAGAGCTTCATTAGCTCGATGAAAAAAGCACCGTAATTTAATTGCCCGGCTGTAAGTCAGGATAATCCGTTGATTACAGTTTTACGGCACAGCGGATTTGAGCGCGCGTTCTTTAATTTCGTAAATTAAAATTGCTGGGAGCGTTATTTTACAAGATGATTTGCAGGATAATCTCGAAACGAGATTGAAGAAGCAATTTCGGAAGAAGCAAGTTACCGGGAAAGTTTAGATGATTTTCGATAAGCGAAGTTTAAAGATGTCGACATACCTTACAGTAAATTAATAATACCTTATTATTTTAATTAGAAAAGGTAGTCTAATTTTCGGAAGTATAAAAATTTAACGCAATACTTTTTTTATAAAAAAAAAAAAAACAAGAGTATGATTTCAAATTCTGATGTAAAGTCAATAAAAAATACGGTATCGATGATTACGTACATTTTCTATTTGTTTGTATCATTTAAAAATGAAGCTTTTTGCAATTGATATATTGAAACAACTATTATTTTGTTTCTAAAAAATGAATTCATTTTAAAACACAAATTCGTAGAAACATTGCTTTGTTAAAACAAAAATATTCGCTGTGTCCAAGTTTTACTAAATTGAACAATGTTGCATGTACGTATGTTAATAGCAATTTTTAATGCACAGCTTACATTCTTCCGTTTATTACTAAAAACCACAACCATCGACAGTAGAATTTTTTTTAAATGACCACTCATCAGAGATATATCACGAGATCACTGTAAACTAATCAAGCAACGAACAAAAATCTTCATCACGTGACTTACCAATATTTTTAAAAGAAAAATGAGATACTTTTTTTTATTCTAGACATGTTCACATACAATAGTGTAAGATGCAAATTTACCTCTTCCAGTTTAGGTACTAGATCAGCCATGATCGTGATGATTGTATCCAAGTCTGACCCAATCGTGAGGATCCTAAAACCAGAAAAACTCGGCAAGTTAAACGTGTCCTTTTTTTAATTTACAATGGAAAAAATCAATAAATACAAAAGGGATAAAATAATGCTGATCTCATCACCATCGGCAAAGCACCATAAATTGTTTCAATACATGGCTGAAAGTTTTGGGATACTGATCAATTGCAGATAATATATCAATTGCAGGTATTTTTAAAAAATGAATTAAAAANTTTTTTTCTGAATTGACAGTAAAAATATCCTTGAAAAAATTATGGTCAGTGGTGCATATATAAAAAAAGATTACATGAGGGATTTCCTTATAATTTACTTACGGTCAACAGGTGTGCAAAAAAAAGCTACTCATGGGAGTAAAAATAGTTCGTTTTCTAGTTCAAACTACACGGAGAAAAGAAATATATAGTCATTTTTATAGTGAAGCTTAGGTTATAACATTGAGACACTGTGAAAAATATAGAAATTTTCACTGTAATAACACGGTAAAAGTGATCCTGAAAAAAGTAAAAAAATCGTATTAATCGGTATCAGGTAGCAACATTACCGTAGCTTCACGGTAAAAAATTACCACAGTTCTCTTCGTCGTGTAGTAAAATAAAACCAATTGTAAAAACAAACGATTCCTCAGTCTTAGCCATTTTTGTGGGGTTAGAAGAGACAAAACTTTGCTCAGGAAAAAAAAAAAATTCAATATCATTAGTTGGTAGGGTCGTCTACTACCTCTTGTTAGTAAGTATTAATTAAATATATGTGTATAGTGTTATCGACGCTGCGGCCATGGGATTTCTGAAAAAAGGCTTCAGATATCTTAATAATATTTGACAGTCGCAGACAACGTTATCATCAAATATTGATAATTCATCGTGGGCAAAAAAAAAATTTATGAATTCACAAATCTCACGTGACATACTTATACTTTTCATCTTGAAGATATATAACGTTGTCTGCGCTGAATTTCATATTCATTGGTGTCTATAATTATTTCGATTTGGTTTTTATTGTTCATCCATTCATCAATCGACCCTTTTTGTTTAATATCATTAAACTGCATGGATTTTCAAGATGACATAGCAACTCGAAGCTGCAACGTATTTTTTTTTTTCTCTTCGAGTTAGGCCCCATTTATAGTGGTGTGTTTGCTTCGCGTTGTTACCTTTATTCAAAATAGGTCTGCAGGAAACAACGTGAAGAAAAATACGCTATTATAAATGGGCGGCCTTAGTTTTGCCGTACCTTGGAATAAGGACACAAAATAAGCAGTAGCTACCCATATTGTTGGGACTCCTGTTTAGCCTAGACAGATTTCGTTGATAGAGAGATTCGGCAGTATTTTTGTTTTCGGAGCTATGGCAGTCATCGTTTGGCGAAACTTCTACGGTTTCATCGCTTATTTAGGAAAATGTATCCTTAGAAATATATGTAGATTTTCTAATTGGAGCTGAAAATCTTTGAACAGAATCAGTGACAATACGAAACTAATTATTCGCTGTGAAATGCTTACTTACTGGACACTAGCTGGTAGAAGCCACTGAATAGCTAGAATGGTAGTAACGATTAACAATTTTTAAAGATTAATTTTGCTAGTCCAAGACAAGAGCATAACGTTCGGACAATATTGAAAATTTTTCCAATTAAAATTTTAAATATTCAACTTCAAAAGAATGCAAGAAAATTCGTCACGAAATGCTTGAAGCTTGACTTCAAAATATTTATAAGTGTAACTCACACAATCTGTAATTTTATAATTGATTTCATTTACCTATACGACATTTTCATATATTCCTGCTAATTTTTTTGCTGTCCAGTAACTCTTAAAATCTTATGTCAGATGGCGTTTTTTTGAATGTACATAATTCAGTGAACATTTCCAATAAATATTGCAACACTGGTATTATTAAACGTAGTGTCAAATAATTAATACAAATAAATAATTTCAGAATAAAAATATTGAAACACAAACTCTGGAAGTGTGATTAGAAGCCATTCCACCATTGCGACATTAGGTTAAATCGAAGAGCTTTTTTACATTCCTGTACATTAGAGTAGGTAAAGGTTAGAAGTAAAAAAAAAAAAAAAAAAACACCTATCAATGAAATCGAGGATTGTTAGTGGGCCATGGGAAGGCAACTAGAGGGTTAATCGATGGCGCTTTGTTTTTTTTCCTTTTCATTTGTGATGGCGAGTATAATTATGGAACGAAAAACGAGTACACACAGAAAAAAGCTTGTTGTCTGATACAAAAGCAACGCAACACTATAGGAGCGCCACCGAGAAAATAACATCCACCGGAGCACTGGGGAACCAACGCTTGTTTACCTCGGCGATCATTCTGGACATTTTGTGGGGATACATGGTGCTGTGCAATTCGAAGACTCAATAAAAAGCCTAGTTTTTACAAAATTTCTAAAATTGTTGCCTTGCGCCACATAGCGGTCAATCATAGTACTTGGCTACTTCGTTGACCAGGTGAGTGGAATAAAATCACAATACAAACCACTTGAAAATCACAAGAAGAAAACATAAAAGGTTTTTACAGGAGAGAAAAAAGTGTTATTTTTATCTCGAGTTTAAAGTAACAACGTGCGGATGCGAATGTTTACGAAAAGGTAACTTAACGAGTGCAGGCTTCCTTGTTGTTTTCTTTTCTTTCAATATTATTATCAGACAACCAAAAAAATTTCTCTGCATTTTTATTTCAAACTCAAACACTTTGAAACATTGTTTTCACTCTTGCAAAAGCCTGTAATTTTCTCTCCTTATGATTGTCAAGTGATGTGATTTAATTCCACTCACCTGGTTAACTCAGTACCAGACTAGACCACCATGTGGCGCTGGGCTCACTTAACAAGGCGAATTAGGTAACTTCAAAAAACTTCATAGATTACTTTAAATGTCATTCAATGGATTTTAAAAGTTCTTTTTGACAGGCTTCGAGAATGCACAGCTTGTATGATTATGACGATGATCAACAACAAAAATTCTCATTTTGCAAAATGAAATTTTCACGCATCATGAAAACACACACAATGAGAAAGAGAGAGAGAGAGAGATACCATATGTATGCAAATTCACATTCATACTTTGTTCTCTGAAGAGACTCGTTTGAATGTAGATTTTCAGTTTGATCGGAGAATCGCCGAAATACACATAATCCAATAAAGATTGCCGCAAATGAATGAGAAAGATAAAAATCGTTGGGTGGGTGATTGGGCCGCTGAATGAATTCACACAACTGATGGACAAAGGTAGACAGAAAGCGAGTATATGAGAAAGAAAAAAAAAGTTAAAAA